GAACCAGCAAATCCAAAGAAGCGATTAGTTCTGATGGGAACTGAAGGTGATGTTGTCGCATTAAGCTTTGGTTAGGAGGTTCATAAACACATGAGACACCATTTGCCGGTCTACCTACCCTTCAGGAAGTCCCCGTTAGATCAGGAATGTCGAGGTCTAGCTTGACCTTCTCTGGAACCGAGATGGTAGGAAAAGCAGCGGTTCCGACCAGTCCAGTCTGTGAGATACTTCCGGGTCACGACAATTTGTTGTCGTCTGTTGAGACCTGAGCCTGGGTCTTGATGGTTCAGCTTTTATTTTGAAAGGAACCGTTGCAGCAGTTGGAACAAAAATGAATTTCCCAGCTTGTCATTGGTTCTTTTGGCTGAAGAGGAAAGTTAAGGATTGGCCACTCCGACAACTTCTCTGGAACGCTTTGAACTGGTGTTAGATGACGTGGGCATAGTTTTATACTTCAGATGTTTTGGGTTATGGTCGAATGAAAAGTTGACAGATTTACCAAACACCACCAAAACCACGCCTCCGTCAGATCTGTCAGATTCTGATTGGATCAGTGAAAGTAATGTGTCATGTCTTTTAACGCTACGTGAAATCAGTCCTGTTGGAACATTTAAAGTCATGTTACTTATTATATTCTATAGGATTATAATAACGTAATTAATATTTTGATTTCACAGATCGGTCACATCTTATTTATTGACTAACACTTTGATGGATTAGCTTTATTAAAATAGAGTTCTTTGATTAATTAAAAGAAAAGAGTTCATTCTTCGTTCTTCTGTTGAGCTGAAAATGAGCAGGTCAGAAGGAATGCATGAGACCTTGAGGCCATATCTCATGCAGACTAGTCTTGTGCAGAGGAGGGAAAAAAACAGTCATTTCGTTCCGTTACGGGGGTGAAAATGTCACGATTGTTTTAAGTGTGGGAAAGGGAGGGAATGTGGGTTATATGGGTCATTTTAATCTGTTAAGCACTTTGTGTTGCATCCTACGCATGAAAAGTGCTGTATAAATAAAGTTTGATTTGATGATTTATTTTTATGGTGCTAATTTAAAACGGTGCTAGTAATCTCAGGCTGGTTGATTTTACTCATCACTTGAACCAAGAGCTTTAAAACAAGTGGATTAAAAATGATAACATCTGTTATAAAAGCCTGAGGATGCTGGCAGATTTCATCAAATCTTCGATTAAATGACTTGCACACTACTTTTTATCACGTGTCTGAGGGCAAGGAGACTGTTGGTTTACCTGGGCAGCAGTTTGTGTTTATGCTTTAATTCACGAGGAAAATTTAAACATTTCCCAAAGGCAGACAGTTAATGTTGTGACATTTCTTGGCACTGAGACCCTTTTCTCAGTATGCCACCTACTCTGCTGTTGTGCTATTTTTTTAAGGAGATAAGCAGCTGCCTAGAGGCAGTGGTTGGGGGAGACCAGTGTGTTTGGACCAGTAATGGTCAGCAGACATGGAGCAAAGAGGGGAAACCTCAGGAGCAGGACAGAAAGCAGCTGGTGTTCAACAAACACCACAGACGTTTGAAATCTCATCCGTCTTTCTCTGAGCCTGTGTGTGTGTGTGTGTGTGTGTGTCCCTTAACTCCACGTCTGAAGGTAATCAGAACTCTGTTGATACATCAACACACAACCCCTCTGTGTTTAGCTCTGGTGAAGGCGTAGCGTAGGACCGGATCCTGGACGGTCCCACCTCTGAAACAACAACTGCAGGGCCTGCTGGGAGGCAGGCAAGTCCAGCTCCCGATTGGAAAACTCCATGCTGTGGAAACAGCTGGCCCAAACTGGGAGGGGAATAACACTATTCTCTAACGGGGAGCCTGTTGGGCCAGCTGAAGGGGAAAAGCTGACAGAGGAACAGGAAACAGCCTGGACTCGGTTACAGCTTGAAAGGAAAACAGCATGCTGTGTTCTCCACACCCGCACACCTTCGAGGGGCAGGAAAACTTGAAAGAAAAGAAGAACATAATAAGGAAATAGACTACTTGGCATCGGGTGTTGAACCACTTGCTAACATGGTGTTGCATTAGTGGGCTGTGAGGAAAATCCCCATTTAAATTGTTGACCACATGCAACTCTGGTTATCCCAGTTAAACTGGGGCTGTTCACTTATTTAGCTGCCTGGTGGAGAACATGTTGAATAATACAGAGGGAGAAACCAGACAGACTGGACTGCAGCTACAAACACACATCATGGGCTGGAGCAGGTTCAGTTTTTGCCCACAAGCCTGTGAGCCAAACGCAGAATGTACACTTGCACAGGAGCAGCTGTGCATTAGCAGATATTACATCTGAAACAGGACCACACCAGAATGGACACTATAAATGGGTCTATTATGTAGCTGCATGAGGAGTAAAGTTATTATAATTAAACATCATTTAATAATTAGGCTTAAAAGCATCCCACGTGTCGCCGGCCTTTCATGCCACGGATGGATTTAAAGGTGTGGTGAACTGAAAACCCTTTTTTTAAAATGATTTCTGATTATGGGTCACTTTGAGTTTTTCATGCAAGCTGAACATGACAATAGTCTCATACACCGATCTCCTGCATTAGCTTCTGGTGGAAAATAGATGGTGAAAATCTAGGATTTGAAAAGCATGACTGATCTATGTCACACTGTCACTTACATTCACGGACTCACCCAATCATGACTCTTGACGGAGAAGGCTGTCGTTGGTTTAGGGTCCAAGAAACAGCAGAGAATGTCTCGGCTAGTAGAAGCTAACTGTTAGCATTAGCAACTCCACCACACAGCAGAACTCCTCCAGGCTTGAGTTATTTGTGGAGATAAAACATCGACGTTGCAGAGCAAACAAAGTCAGTCTTATTGTTTTGCTGTCTGATAATAAGAGATGAGATGTCCAAATATCAGGAAATAAGACTCCAAATCCCAAATTGATTAAACAAGTGAACCGCATCTTTAAAGGAAACATGATCACTTAATCTGCAACAGATTATTAACCTTTTTCTAATTCAAGATGGATGCTTCAGCTAATTGACAGGAACAAACACCAAAAAGGGGCTAAAACTCAGCAACTGTACAGATGTGGACACATTTGCTAAGATGGTTGCTGAGTCATTAATTACACTGAGTGAGACTCACGACTTACACTGTGAGAGCTTTTTTCCAGAGATCGGCTCTCGAGGCATTAGTTTATACTAGAGACCACTGCAGATGTGATGAAAAAAAAAGAGTGAACTTGGTCTTTAGTGTAGTCATGTTTTAGTCTAATCTTGATTATAATGATTTGCAGAATCTGAGTATTATAAATGACTCAGCTATCATCTCATCAAATGTCTCCACATCTGTAAGCGTTACTAAGTCATGGCCGTTTACTAATGTGTCCATCTTGAATTAGAAAGACTCTAAAGACTAATCGAGTTTTGGATGGAGTTTGGAGTTTCCTTTATCCTGGTGTACTCACGCAAACCCCGAGGGTCAACACCACTCGTCAAGCTTTAAGCAAATATCTCCTGATTACTTAGAGCTGTGGTGTGTGTTGTGGAACACACTCAGCTAGCCTACAGAGTGAATGCTAGATTAATATCTGTAAACTGAGAGAGTGGTGACCATTGGTTTGTTGACATTCTTTACGTTTAGCATCTTGAACAAGGCTCAGCGTTGTGTAAACTCAGTTAGGACGTTTGGAGAGTTTTAGTGAATTCTGATCGGTGGAACACACACTCACCAAAATGTCTCCATTTCCCTTGCTCCTCCGGGCTCATCTTCAGTCTTTGTGAGCGTGTGTGTAATGGGGGGTGTCTAATGTTGTCTTGTTTCAGGCTAGACTGTTAGCTGGCCTGCACACACACACACACACACTCTCATATATACACAAACACACACGCATAAATGCGCACACAGACACACACACAAACACACACACACAAACATGCGTACACACACAAACACACATACACAAACATACACACACACACACACTCCCATATACACACAAACCCGCACACACACAGACACACACACAAATGCATGCACACACACACACTCCCACACATACACAAACACACAAACATGAGCACACATACAAACGCATGCACACAAACACATGCACACACACAAACACACACACGGGCACACACACACTCCCATATATACACAAACACACAAACATAAACGCACGCACACACATACACTAAGACACACACACACAAATGCGTACACACACACAAACACACACACATACAGACAAACACACACACAAACAAATGCACACAGACACACACACACACACATACATACACATACACACACAAACACACACACTCCCATATATACACAAACACCCACACAAACGCGCACAAACAGACACACAAATGCATGCACACACACACACACACACAAACGCGTACACACACACACACAGACAAACACACACACAGACAAACACACACACAGACAAACACACACACACACACACACACACACACACACACACACACACACACACACACACACACACACGGTATTTACGTTTTTGGTGAATAATGAAAATCTGTAGATTTCGTGCGTCTGCTTCGGTGAGCTTTAAGGCCAACATGAATTTAACATTAGCCGACACAATTTGGAACAGTTGTTGATTTTTAAATAATACATCAAGTACATCATAAGAGCGTGTGATGTAGGTCAGGCCTGTGTACTCTCATTCCACTTTTCCAGACCACTACCAGCTGATCTGTTTTGGTTCTTCGTGTTCAGATCCCTGAGAATATGATGCATCTCCTGTTTGCGGGCAATAAAAACTCCACTGTCTGGGATTAATACAAAAGAAATTGAGCGGGTAACTAAATATTCAAAAACACTACGTAATCCCAGAGTACATTGCTCCACTGCCTGCATTACCTAATCCCATAATCCATTGCGGGAGGGGCGGGGAATCAGCCGGTTGTCGGAGCAACGGATATGTCATCGGACAATCCCCGCCTTCACGATGGTCTCCAGCCAATGACAGTCCGTAGAAATGACATCATTGTTATTTTCAGTGGAGCTGCAGCTTAGAGGTGGATAAAGTTCGTCTCCACGTTGGAAGTGATTGAAAGTATTTGTCGTTTTCAGGCTCCGATTTGACTTTTTCCAATAAGACGGTGAAAGTGAGAAGCGGAGAAGAAGCAGCGGCTCGGAGGCGACGGAAGCCTGTTTGTCCATGACCGTCCGGTTCTGAGCAGGGGGCGAAAGTTTTCTCGGGACGCAAAGTTGTCAAGTGAGTTGAACTTCAACAATAGACGGCCTCTGTCTCCGGAGAGTGGACAGGTTGTGTCTGAACGAATGTAAACAGTAAAAATTGGGACTATTTACGGAACAAAAACCTTCACAGCGATTCCAACTTATGTCTGGGAAAATGGAAGCAACTTTTTATGATGAAAACGCCTCCAACCCTCAGCATGACGGAACGGGAGTGTTCGGCTTCAACCCGAAAACCCTCAAGCAGAGCATGACTCTGAACCTGAACGATCCGAAAAACTTCAGGCCCCAGCTGGGCGCGAAGGCCCTGGACATCCTGACGTCCCCTGACGTGGGGCTGCTGAAGCTGGCCTCGCCGGAGCTGGAGAGGCTGATCATCCAGTCCTGTAACGGGCTCACGACCCCCACCCCCACCCAGTTCGTCTGTCCCAAGAATATCACGGATGAGCAGGAGGGCTTTGCCGAAGGGTTTGTGAGGGCTTTGGCTGAGCTCCACTACCAGCAGATCCCCGCCGCCCACCCCGACGCACAGACCGGTGCGTCAGGCGCGGCTGCGTGCGAGAGCGGCGGGATTCCCTACAGCTGCACGGTGCGCACGGAACCACCGGAATACACCAACCTCGCCGCTTTCAGCCGAACGGTGGGCTCCGTTTCCGCACCTGTCGGGGAGAGGAACCCGCCTACAGGTTATCCAGCTGCCCCGCAGCCGCCCCACAACCTCACGGACCCCCAGCTGGGGACAGCGCAGCACCCGCGGCTGCAGGCGCTCAAGGAAGAGCCGCAGACGGTCCCCGAGATGGCCGGCGACACTCCGCCGCTCTCCCCGATAGACATGGAGACGCAGGAGCGCATCAAGGCGGAGCGGAAGCGCATGAGAAACAGAGTGGCCGCGTCTAAATGCCGGAAAAGGAAGCTGGAGAGGATCTCCCGGCTAGAGGAGAGGGTCAAGAACCTGAAGACCCAAAACACGGAGCTGGTGTCCTCCGCTAACGTCCTCCGGGACGAGCTGGCTCTGCTCAAGCAGAAGGTCATGGACCACGTCAACAGCGGCTGTCAGCTGATCCTGACGCAGCAGCTCCAGGCCTACTAGACCACCGCGGCTACAGAAGGGACCAAATGCAACTTCAGGTGGCTGCTGGAGACTTTTTAGGAACATCACAGCCACCCCACTAACCCAGACTCTCTGATGGCGTTTGGCTTGTAAATGTGATTTATTACAGATCAGAAGCCATAAGAATTGTTGTCCAGGCGCACAGACGAACTCTGCTCTACTAGTCTTCCTGTTCTGTTATTTGCACACAACAGACTTGTTTCCAGTCGGATCACAGCACGGGGACACCCGATCTCCGGACTTCCGTTTGGAGCCGATTCTGGTCACATAAATGTATAAAACACTACCAGCTTTCACTCCCACGGCTGCGTGTAGCGGGTTACTGACGGCTGCCTTACTTTCATAAACTTCTACTCATACTATAGTATCATTGTTAGACCTGAAATAACACTTTGTAATATTTTGTACGCTACGTTTTGAGCACTTAACTGTAAATAAGGCAAAAAATAAAAACATACTTAAAATGAAAATGCACGCGAGGCCTTTTGAATTAGCAAGCAGGTGTGTGGAGTGGACAGACTGTTATTGGGTGGGGGGTGGGGGGGTGGGTTGAGTCATCGAGCCGCAAGAATCCAAATAAGGCCGGAGTGCGCAGCAGGGTAGGTGCGCGCGCATGACTGAACCACCGCTGAAGACTGCAGCTAGTGAAACCAGTTGGATTCGTTTACACTCCTCACGAGGGGCTCATGTTTTATTAAAAAGGCTTTAATGATTTCAGAACATAAATATCTGACACCTCTTAGAAAATGCACAGATGTATTTACACTGAACGCGCGCGCGCGCGTACACACACACACACACGGGACCACCTACATAGTTCCTGTAAAGTTAATTTTGAGGCCAGCTGTCCAGCAGACTTGAACACACACCTCCATAAACCACAGGTGTGTTAACTTCAGCCATCTCTGGACTGTTTAGACTCCTGAGACGAACTCTAAATGTTCTGACTGAAGTGATAGAAGCTGCCAAACTGAATAAAAACACGAGATTTGTTTTTGTTATTAGAGCAGCTTGTTTGGTCGTGTTTAGCCGGCTACTCAAAGGTTACCAGCTCACAGGGCAAACCCAGGGTTTCTGACCCTTTATGGATTCTTTACAAAATTGAAAGCAACTAATTACCAAACAAGAATAATCTATGTGGAGAACATTTTAACCAAAGTCCACGTAATCTTAAACGTCATGTTTATGAGCATGGCCGTAACGGTGGTCAAAGCAGGAAGTAAAGCAGAAGTCATCTGAATGCGTAAACTAACAGCCCGCTCGATACCGCCGCTGCTGCTGCACTGATCCGGAAGCGACGGACCTGACAGCTGGTTGTGATTCACTCGGTGTTAGATTCAGACGGACAGACGCACCTCTGACGACAACATCCAGGCTGTCCGTATGTAGTATAACTAACTGGTTAGTCATCTTTCATAGTTTCAGGATAAGTTGCAACATTGATGATTCTCTATAGGAAAAATACAACTTTCACAATAAAATCCTGATTTAAACCTGCAGCTATTTTGCAGAACCACTAATACTTCAGAGCGCTGGCTCCAGAGCCGGACTCGTTCAGAAGCTCTGCCGTTACATCCTACAGGCCGTAAACTCAGAAACCTTTCAACTAAAGTCAATTCTCTTATAAGAAACAAAACACCATTACAGCTGGAAAACCACTCATGAGTAGAAAACTTAACAGCCTCCCGGTGTCTTTTTTTGTTGCCCTGTCTGCTTTTTCAAACGCAGCATCCTCCACCCCATCTCGGCTGGGCACCAGTCTGGTTCCCTGGGATGTGGTTCCTTCTTCAAGTCCTGAGTAAGAGCAGAGTGCGTCTCAGTTGACCAGCGTGCCCTCCTTAACAGCCAGCCGCTGCCGGTGCACGTGGTCCTGCTCCAGCTCTTCGTGGCTGGGGTGCCACAGGCGAGCCAGGATGCGCTCCATGTTCAGGGCGTACATGGTGTGAGAGGGCATGACGCCCCGGTGAACCTACAGGAGAAAAAAAGTGACATGCTTTGATTACTTGTGAACAACATCTGCTCCAGCAGGAAAGACTAATGTACTCTGTAGTTTTCTGAGCTTTTAGCTGAATCTTGATGGTTAGATTATAAAATGTTCCCTTGTTTTTACACGTGATGAATCCTCTGAATAAAAAGTCCAACCACACTGTACACCACTGACTGAAGTTCCACGTCTTGAGGTGATTAAAGGACATCAGACAGGTGGGTCTGGTCCTGGATGGGGGCAGGTATACATCCACCACCCTAAGTCTATCTTTTCTTGCTTTACACATGTAGATACAGCAGAGTCAGTTACACGTAACACCTCAATCTTTATCTGATACAGACTTACATTCAGAAACCTATTTTATTAATTATTAATGAAAAGTGGACCTCTAAGTTGCAGAAGCCTTGCACCTGCGCCGTTTGAGGAACACAAAAACACATCTTCATCTGAGCAAGAAGACCGAAGGAAAGGTGCACCATGTGGCGAGGAAGAGACTTAAGCCGGGCGTACGCTGTGCGACTTTTTCACTTTTTTGAGCCGATTTTCCAGTCGTGCGAGAATCCACGAGATCGGGGTGAGTTTAGCGCTGAGCGTGGTGTAGTGTACAGGGGGTTACGAGAGGCGATTAACACCACGTGACCAGCTACCGATCAGCAATCGTGAGCTAACACGGACTTCTGGCGTGTTTGATATTTTGCTCGTCCCTCGTGAGGGTATCGCACTGTTGAAGCGGCGCTGCGAGCAGCTGCGACCCAAAATGTATCAGAACCGCTCACGGCGCATGCGCAATCCTGCATCAACGCCGCTCACCCGCTATTTCCCTAATAACACGTTGTTTGTTTTTATTTCTACACGTTTTTTACTCACAAAGATTGTCAAAAAGCGTGTTTGTCGTGTTCATGTCAAATTAAACTGATCACAAAACACAGATTTACTTTCTTTATTTCGTTTTCCTCATCCAACCCCCATAAATCCCTGTGTGTCCTCCTGCAGCACTCCCGAAGGACAACAGGCAAGTCAAAAAAGTCTGACGTGTTGAGTAAAAACGGCTATTTTTAGCATGTTTTTAGGTCTGACGTGTTGCTACCAGACGTACAGTGTGAGCTAGAGCCCTGCACGGGCCTAAAATCTGAGCCCGTGTCCGGCCCGAGAGGGTGGAGCCCCAGCCCGACCCGGTCCGAAAAGGTTTTCAGGATTCTCTGGCCCGACCCGAGCCCCACTTTTTTTTAATCTTTCATAATGTTTTAGCGTGATAGAATGCTCAGCCGTCTAATCATCTGTGAGAAGCGTTCTGCAGTAAAAATAAATAAATAAATAAATAAATAATAAAGAAAAGAAAGAAAAAAAGCATTCATGCGCTTTTTTTCCCCTAACAGAGCATATTTTTCGAGCGGCAGATGAAATTTATGGACACCATATTAATTGGATGCGTTTGTAAATCTAATCTGCTCTGAAAACACGCTCTTGTGCAATTAGAAAAAAAAGCAGCATTCTCACGTTCTAACTGCAGAGCGCATTTTCAGAGCGGCAGATTAAATAAACGCCCCCAGTTAATAAAGCGTTTGTAAATTTAATCTGCCGCTCTGAAAATGCGCTCTCCAGTTAGAAAAACCCAGCAATGAATGCTGTATTTTTTTAACTGCAGAGCAAATTTATTCACAGAAAAACAGAATGCTGCCGTTTTCATGAGAATAAACGAATGGTTTCTGACATCAAAGTGGACATAAAATGGCATATTAGAATAGGGGCACATGTTTCAATCAGCAGTTTGAGAATTCGTTTATATAGGCGCATTTATAAACCACACACACCTTCACTGAGCTAACGGTGCGTGAGAAGCAGGCAGGTGCTGCTGCGTTCAAGTGTTTCAGTTTTTATTTTTTATGAATTCGATTAAAAATAAAGGCACCCGGCCCGTGTCCGAGCTAAATACACAGTCGTTGGCCCGAAGCCCTAGGCCCTCGGGCCGTCGGGCTGGGCCGACCCGAGGGCCTAGGGCTTCAGTGCAGGGCTCTAGTGTGAGCACATGACTCGTGAGATCTGCCCTGTGAGGAAGTCGTACAGTTTGAGCTGAAGCCGAGTGCTACGAGTGAAAAAGTCACACAGTGTCCGCCCAGCTTTAGGGGTTAGGTGTAGCTCTCTCTCCTCCGCTTCTTTATTTCGGTGAATTGAGACGTATGCATGCTTGAATAAACATTTTAGTGCATCCAAGACTAAAACAAAGGTTGGTCTCTGTGTAACTTCCTAGGAAGTCGTGCCGTTTTCTCAGGGAGATTCAGCTTGACGTGTTTAGAGCTGATCATTAACAGACGGGTTTTGAGCCTGCTCGGGCTCATCGAAGTAAAAACAAGGCTCTGTCTGTCTTCATGAGCTCGTCTTCTGCCAACACTGGGAACAAAACGATAACTTCTTTGTACAATAATAAATGTGATAGAAAAAACTTACATTTAAAAATGTGACAAGCTTCTTCATTAAGACTGAAAGTAAATTTCTGCCTCCTGCGTCTGGAACTGAACCCATGAGTTTCTGTTGTCTGGCTTTATTTCAGGGTATCTGCAGGTTTAAGGGAGCCAAATTTAAGACCTTTTTAAGGCCACTTTGACCAAATTTAAGCTGTTTTTTGAAATTATATTTAAGCTATGATTTCTAGCTATTGCCTGGAACGTCGCGAACGTGGGATTAGCCATCCAGTTACCATTAAACTTGCACTAGCTCCCACTAGCTTAACCAGCTAATGTGCTCTTCTAAAGATAGTCCCCTTTCACTGAATGTGTACGGTTCCGCTTACGCCAACATCATACACAAAAAATGCTGAACACTAACTAGAAATTCACGAATTTTTTTAGAAATAAAAGAATCTTGTTTATTGGGTCTTTGGTAATTTAAGACCTTTGGAAACTGTATTTAAGGATTATTTCTCCCGAGGACCCTCTCCCTCCGAAGATGGTGGGTGAGATCATCCCTATTTTGGGCCCCACAATTCTAGACATTTTTAACTCTAGCTTGGCTACTGGGGTGTTTCCTACTTCTTTTAAAAAGGCGGTTGTGCAACCAATTTTAAAAAAACCTGGTTTAGATGGCTCAAACCTTGCAAACTTTCGGCCAATCTCCAAATTACCGTTTTTGTCTAAGGTCCTTGAAAAGATTGTCTATTCACAGATTACAGCACACATGAATAGCTTTTCTCTGGATGACGTGTTCCAGTCTGGGTTTAGGCCACTTCACAGTACCGAATCAGCCCTTCTTCGCGTGACCAATGACATCCTGGTGGCTTCTGACTCTGGGTCGCCTGTTTTGCTCCTACTATTAGATCTCTCTGCAGCATTTGATTCCGTTGACCACGATATTTTGCTGGATAGACTTGAGTCATGGGTAGGGCTAAGGGGTACCTCACTTCAGTGGTTCTGCTCATATCTGTCAAACAGAGTTTTCAAGGTCCAGTTGGGTAATTGTTCCTCTGCATTCCTCCCACTTCCATGGGGAGTCCCGCAGGGATCTGTGCTTGGGCCTCTCCTATTTTCAATTTACATCCTTCCCCTGGGTTTCATCCTGAGGAAATATGGCCTGGGCTATCATATTTATGCAGATGATTGCCAGATCTACCTGGCTTTGAAAAAACCAGACTCCATCTCTCTTCTGGACCAATGTTTGGCTGAAGTGAGGGTTTAGCTTGCTAATAATTTCCTTAAGCTAAATGATTTTAAGTCTGAGGCACTCCTGATGACCCCTAACCAAACAACTCAAGTATCTTCTGATTTGGCCACTCTCCCTTTTGACCTCAAGCAGTGTGTTACCAACCTTGGGGTGAAATTTGATACACAGTTTTCCATGGGCCCTCAGATTAATGCAGTGGTCAGATCGTGTTTTTATCAGCTGCGCAGACTAGTCCGCTTAAAACCGATCCTGAAACGAGCACACCTGGAATCCGTAATCCATGCTTTTATCATCTCTCGACTGGATTATGCAAATTCCATTTTAATTGGTTTACCTGCCTCCGCTCTTAACAGGCTTCAGGTCGTACAAAACGCGGCAGCCAGGTTTTTAACAAACACTCCTAGGAGAGAACATATCACACCTGTACTGGCGCAGCTCCACTGGCTACCCGTAAACTTTAGGGTCAAATTTAAGGTCCTGATTTTTGTTTTTAAGGCCCTGAACGGTCTAGCACCTGATTACCTGTCAGATCTTGTCACTAGATATGTGCCAAACCGGGCGTTGAGGTCTGCTGATTGCCTGCTGCTTCGTGTTCCATTAATGAAATACAAAACGCGGGGGCAGTGTGCTTTTGTCTATGCTGCTCCGACACTATGGAATGCACTTCCTCTTTCCGTGAGGCTGGCACCATCCCTCCTCCGGTTCAAATCGCTGCTGAAGGCTCACTTTTACGACCAGGCATTTTAAAATCCCTGACTTTTATTATTTTATTGTGTCTTTTTATTGACTTTAATTATCTGCCTTGTTGTGCATTTTATTGTTGACCGTGTATTGTTTTATATTGTGTTTTTACTTTTTATTCTGTACAGCACTTTGGTCGGCTGCCATGCCGTTTTTAAATGTGCTTTATAAATAAAGATGGTATGGTATGGTATTTGTCATTTTTAAGGATTTTTAAGGCCTTAAATTTGGAAAAGCAAATTTAAGACTTTTTAAGGACCCGCGGATACCCTGCTGTATTTCCAGTGTCTGAAGTATTTTATACTCAGACTTTTGTTAAAGTGACAGATTCAGGAGTCTTTATTTTTCACGGAGAATAATTGGTTTTGTTATGCAGAAGAACCTGCAGTCCACGAGCGTTTTCCTGTATAACATCTGGATTTTAGCAGGGTTTTTTAATTGGAAAATGTTTTTAATAGTTATTGAAAATATATAAATTTGGAGTGGGGATGTAAGAAAATATCGATATGGCAATATACCGTGATATTTTTTCCTGCAATATTACATCAACATTCAAAAGCCGTGTATCTAATTTTTGGAAGAATTTACATGCAAACATTTGTGTATTTTCTTTTCTTTTGGTGCAATTCAAATGCTGACCGCTAGTTGGCAGCTGTGTGCAATGGGTTTGGTTTTTACCATTGGAATGTAAATCCCTCTATTATGGTCGATAGTTCAGATAAATGTTGCCATGGTTACATCTTAGTCTCAGACCAGGATGGCCATGAGAGTCTAAAATGTTTTTCTTACAAAACAAATAATTTGTAAGTATAAAACATGTTATTAATGTAGTAAACATCAATGTTATTTCGTCATATCTACACATTTCTAACGTAACACGCTGGTCTGTTCAGTCCGGATCCCCTGTTGTTTTCATTCACTTCCTAACCCTGATTGGTCATCTCACCTTTAATGATTCCAGGAGGTCAAACATGCTGATTGGAGGGAGCGGCACAGGAAGTGAGTCGGAGGAACAAGCCAGCAGGTGAACAGCTTTTTGTTCAGCCTCATCTGGTGACACCTGTGGTGGTGGGCATGCAGGCAGAGAAGCACTGGGAGGAGGGCTTGAGAAGAAAAAAACACATAAGAGCAGCAGAGTTCACATGGCACCAACATGTGACAGCTCTGTCTGGGTGTGTGTGTGCGTGCATGCGTGTGTGTGTGAGCGTGTGGCCTGCCTTTTATTAGAGAGGTGCTCGCTGCAGAACTACACAGGCAGAGCTGCACCAGAGTCAGCCCCGCCCATTCACGCAAACTCAGCCTAGCCCACTGACTTCTGTTTTTTTTGTTTACTTTATCGTAAACTAACCTGACCCACATGAATTACGGCTGTTACTGGTTTACAAATGTTGATGCTATGTTCTATGCTCCAATTAAACAAGATAAATATAACTTGCTACATGCCAAAGCCTGAATATATCCAGAAATGAAAAGGTTTCTTTTAGCAAATATCTGCCCACAGCCGCTCCAACAAACGTGGCCTACAACAGCATCTATTGTGTGGGTCCTGGTGGTCCAGTGGCAAGATCGTCTGACTTAAGTTTTGCTTTTCCCTCAGCTGAAGCTGGTTCGACTCTCGGTGGGGTCGGCAGCAATCTATTTAGCCAGCTGAAACATTTAATTTGTTTATATTTTAGTTGTAATGTTGATTTTCTGCAAAATATTTATGTCTCTAAAAGTTCTTTGAATTTGGTCGTTCCTAAACAGCGTTTTAGTTGTGTAACATGAGGAAATATGGGTTTCTATCACAAAGGTGGTGCTGGACGCATGAACAACACTTTCTCTGCTACTTTTAAGCTGAATAAATCTCTTGAGCCTATGGTTAACCTCTCTGACAAACAAGTTGTGATTAACCCTTTGGTTCCTAATGCTTCTCCTCTGTCATCCATGTTAAAGGCTGAACATCTCTCCAGCATGGGTGTGAAATCTTCAGGCTGTGACCCACCGCTTCAGTCAGAGGTCTGTTTTACTCGTCAGTCCGCCTCATGCACAAACCAGCTTCTTTATCGGGGCGTGATGGAAACGTCAGCCGCCGTGAAACACTTGTGGTCTCCGGACGGAGCTACCATGCCATTTAAGGGGTTTGTGCCCGGACATCTTGACCTTTATGTGAATGACCTTGTCACTTTTCAGTTTGTGACCTCTGCTAATACGGTGGCCAATTCTTTTCTCCTTTCACAGGGGTGTGACTTAGTCTCGGGCCTCTGTGCTCTCTTTCCTGTGATTTCTCTTACAGGTGACCACGACGACGCAGAAAACCCTGCGGTTTCCAGCAGTCCTGTGGTCAGTGGCGATATTAAAGGTGGCTCGGTGGTTGCTGCGCACACCTCTCTCACGGGCTCGGGAAGGCAACCCGGCCCGGGAGGTGTAGGTGCGTGCAGTGATGCTATGCTCGGGGCCCCTCCTGACAAAGGGGGGGTGCTGAGTGGCTCTGAGTTTTCCGTTGCGGACTTTAACCGGTTCGGGGGAACGCCTCCTCCGAGCGGGCGGGTCATTGCAGAAATCGACACTGACCTTCCACCAATTCAGCTGACAACATTGACCTCCGACCCGGAGTTAGGTGCTGCACCTTCTACGGGGCAGAGTTCTAGTCAGTCTGTAAATACTCTGGTTAAACCGGGTTTTTCTGATTCAGTGTGGGAACCTCCATCATTCTTGGGAATAAAGTATTCTTGGCTTCAGTTTTTAGGACAGACCATGTTCCTACAGCTAGCATCATGTCTGTATCTGATTCTAAACATAGCTAGGTTTGCTTTGACACCCGTGACACAACCATCCTTGGATCACTCCTTTTCAGAACCTCCAAGTCCAGCACCTCCAGGTCTTTGGACATCTGAACACCTACTCTTTCAGCACGATTCAGGTGACAATGTGCATCTTCTTGGTATTAGGGCTTTTAAGAGCTTAAGAACTGTTCTTTGTTATGCTTCTCCTGTCTCACAGACACGGCATAAGTTTGAGAAACAAAAGGGGGGTGGGGAGCCTCCTCCTGCTTTGCGAGCATCATTTTCGCATTTCCAGTTCACTACTATTTCTGATCACAACAAAGTCGCCTCCGTAAAGCTGCAACACAACTTTGAGCAGGTAAAATCAGGTTCTGATCTAACAGCTAAACCATCAGCTTCGCTCCAGTTCCAAACGGGACCCTCAGGTAAATTCAAACAAGTTTCCCTGTGGGTCCGTAACACAAGATACAAACGGTTTGTTAACCAAATCGCTTATGAGCCTGCTCCCACAGATACGTCCAAACTCGTGTCTCTGTGGGTCCGCAATACCAGATTCAAAACTCTATTCTGACCGGATTCTTTTCCACTGACTGGTGGACCGTTACAAATTCTCTCGTTTGTGGGATGAATTTTTAACAAATGTGATATCCTTTGGGTTTTTTTTTTCAGGTTACCTGCCTCCAGCCAGGGTCCTGTTACTAACTCACATCTTTAGGGATTACTAACCTACTGATTTACATTTTTAGAACTGATTTACATCTCTATCTTTTTATTAGTGCTTTGTGTAGCATGATTATATTTGATTATAAATTTAATTTTATTTTGTTACTATTTCCCTTAAAGGGCCACAAGCCAATTTGCCCTTCATTTTCATGATTATTTCTTTTATATATATGCCTTTAATTAGTGCAGCCTGCTGAGTCTCACATATCAGTTAGGATTTACTTTCTTTTATTTGTGTTTTCCCTGCATCACGTTTTTACATGACACGTAGAACAGGGTGCAGTACATTTCTTCTTTAGATAATTCACAAAAGGCACCCACATTTTCCCAGAGGCACCCATAGATAGGTTTTGATTGATTTCTTTGTTTTGCATCAAATGCTATCTATCGTGTGAGCTGTCTCACTTTGTCTCCTTCTCCGAGCTCGTATGGACTACATCCCATCAGAGGGGTCGTCTTCACCATCCTTCAACTGGTTTCCTGTCGCATGGGGCTTCGGTCGTGGTTCGGGATGGGTCGAGATCTGCGCCGGACTTCGCCTGGACTACGCCTGGGGAACACATCACCTGCCCAGCTCCGTGTGACACACGAGCTGCTTATCCTTTGAATACCTTTGCATTATTGCTGATGAAAATTAACTGCTATTGAAATAGCTCTGCTTTCAAGATTCCCTAAGTGGATTACTTTACAATGATTGCAACAGTTTTGGCCTTAATCATCTGATCAGGATAGACTCCCTTCTACACGAGACCTGTGGTGACGCTTCATCGTTCCTGCCTTCATCTGGGATGTCTACCTTCACGAGTACATCACGTTATTGTGGTTGTGACGTCAGGTGGCCTCTGCTTGACCTCCATGTCGTCACAAAAGGGGGGAATGTAACGTGAGGAAATATGGGTTTTCTGTCACAATGGTGGTGTTGGACTCAGCTGTGTCAAAGCTGGGTCGCTGAGAACTTTCACCCACAGATTAAGTCCTGAACGCCGGCGAGTCTGGGAGGAAACCATAACATCTGCCACCTGCAGTCTACCAGAAGATGTGTTTACATGAGTTGTACCCAGACCAAGTCAAAACATAAAGTTTAAACTTCTTTTTCTTGATTTTAATGTTAAAGTAACCATTATCATTTTGCTCATTATAAATGTGATTAATCAAATGAATGACTATTTAGCTTTGGGGTAATTATAATGGTTTAATGAATCCATTCTTAAATAATGTTGAGAATGTTTGTTACTGACCTTCACACACACTCAAGCACAAACATTCACACACATCCACACACACCTGCTCACAGTAAACTCCAGACACATTTGATGACGCACGTTTGCTTTGAGAAGAGAAAGGTTTTTGGTAAGTTTTCAGTCTTATGATTCAGTTCGTGTTGGACAACGAGAGAGAACAGACCTGAAAACCAAAGGGGGGGCAGAGCCTGTTGGCTCGTTATTCCCCCCTTTCACGCTGTTTCTGCCAAGCCAGGCAGAATAGCTGAATCGCGACTTCTAACGAAGACTCATTACCGAGTCTTTTGATTTCTGAGTGAATTAACTTAAGAAAGCGCATCGATAAAACGCTCTACCATCCACGTGTACCGAGGGCAACTCTGGACCGGTTCCGTTCGACACCTACGTCTCCTGTCAGCCGCCGGTGTCATCTGGATGAACCACAACATCCTCCACGGCCCGGATCCGAAAGAGGGTCCACAAGAGTTCGGTGAGACAGAGCACGGTTTTAGCGTTTGATGCAGTTCTATGATAAGACCTAAGTTTATCCAAACCATCACTTCACTCAGACACCTGTTTCTTCTTGAAGCAAAATCAGACTCACACACGCATTCATGTCACAACATTCTCAATCTTCATAAATTCAACAGAAGGTCTATTTGAGCAAGAACAGCATATAAACTGTTAAAAGATTGTCCCACAAAGTTGCCAATGTGATTGTTATTTCCTGTTTGTCAATTTTCAAAATCATTAGTTTAATTTGAAGAATTAAAACTTTTAATCCTTCAAACTTGTTTCCTCATTGAACTGAAACACAGACACTCAGATATTATCGGCAGTTTATGGATGAAAACAACCTTTGAGTCTTCTGAACAATATAAAATTTGGTTATTGATTTATTAAAATTAATATTCCGAACTAATACGTAGCATGGTTTCTCTTTCATAAAAGAGCATAAATCCATAACGCTACAGTTGAAACTCTGCTCACAGATGGACTCACACTGGCTAAATAAACGAATAAATAAATAAAACAAACACATTAGTCATTATATTTTAAACGGTATACCAATAAATGGTTGTAAACATAGTACTGGCAAGTGTAGCTAGAAAAGAAGAAAAAGGGTTTTAAACTACCTTCATGCTGCCGCTACCGGGAGGCGAACCGGCGCAAAATTACATTCCAACCTGACTCCATAACCACTTCACCACCACATCTGATAAAAAGCTGGTGGCGTTACATGTAATTGTGCCATCCAGTGTGTCTTTGTAGATGGGATGTACGGTTTTTCCAGCGGTGTCTCAGTAGAAGTCATTTCAGGAATTATTTGTCAGAAAATTCACAGAATATCCAGATTTGAGAACCAAGACCAGACCCGCTTCGGGGGAGGAGACCAAATTGAAGCTGAGATGGGAGGAAAATGCATGAATGAGGCCAAAAATGGCTTTGGCGTGTTTCTTATGAGGAAATGACAATATAACATGGTAAAAAGTTCTAAAAGTTAGATTTTTAATTATATGGAACCTTTACAAAAACGGTTCAATTAACTTCTCAACTCCGTCCTCAATCTTGCATTTTAGATGATATTAGCTATAACACCCTCTTTGGTTCCAGAATGCTATCATGTCTGACAACTGGAAGGAAATGGACTGACTCTGATGGAATGGGCGGGGCTGACTCTGGTGCAGCTCCACCTTTGTGGTTCTGCAGCGAGCACCACTTGTTTCATTCCCTACCATTCACTGATCCCGTGGAAGGCAGTGAGGCTGTTCTTCAGATAAGGCTGAGGTGTGACATCGCTGCCGAATGCGTACGGGAACTGAGCATCTCGTAATCGATAGGCCTTCCTCCGGGTGATCACGGCAGTCAGAACATCTTTCAGATGGTGCTGAAATACAGATACGTTTCTGCTCACATCACAGTAACATTCTAATTCTCATTTATTAAAACAAAATTGTCACTAAAGAAGATCGGTGGTTCTGCTCAACCACAGCACATAACTCAGAGGATAGCTAAATGTATACAGTGATTAATTATAGGGAGGGGTACCTTTGACATTTGAATCGATCCGGTACTAATTCCCGGTACCTAGGAATCGATACCGGTACTTAACGGTACCAATTTTTGATACTTTTGAGTGTATATATATTTAAAAAATTTTTATAATTAAATATATATTTTTCTCAATATATAACCATATTTGATAAATATCACAATAAATAACATTCAACTGTTTGTATTTTAACATCGTTCTTGTAGTTTTATAAGCTGATAATTAAACTGAAGCAAACATCTTTACTGTGAACTAAATTTACTGTGTATCTTCATTCCTTTTGCCGTCCTTTTTCTTTTGATTTTTCCTACTGGGAAGTTAGAATTTCCAAGGAGAAAGCGAACGCACCATTAGCTGATAACATTGGTGGCAATGGAAGCTAACATATCAAGCTAACGTTATCTTAAACAGTTTATTTAACTGCTGGAGAAGATTAAAACGATGATGCCTCACACTTAGATCGTTGTCACTGGTTTCATCTTCACCCAGTCACCCGTCGCATTTAGTAAAGTGACGCCAAACTTTAGAGCGCGTTCATGTTCTTCTAGTCGGAAACTCGGAGTTCCGAGGAGAAAGCGAACGCACCATTAGCGGAACGGAAACTAACAAATCAAGCTAACATTATCTTAAACATTTTATTTACCTACCGGAGCAGATTAAGATGAGGATGTCACACTTAGATCGTTGTCGCTGGTTTCATCATCACCCAGTTACCCATCACATTTAGTGAAGTGGACCCAAGCTTTAGCGTGCGTTCTTTCTACCATGCTGCTCTGTTTACAACTGGCTCGCAGCGACCGACGACGTAACGCTCTTGCGCATGCGCAGCTGTCTAGGCAGGTTCTCGTTGTGAAGGACGGGTACCGAAACGAGGCACCGTTTCAAATGACGTGAATCGGTGCTCGGTCGGTACTATGGAATTCGGTCGGTACCTTAAAAAGTACCGAGTTCGGTACCCATCCCTAATTATTACGCAGAGACTTTGGCGTGGTTAAACACACACCTCCACAGCATAGACCATAGTGCTGATGGACTCTTCAGTGACATTATCCAGGCCCAGCTCAAAGGCAGTGACCATCATACGGGCTTCCAGCTGGCCCCGCGTCGGCAGCAGCAGCGTTTGGGCACTGAGGCGCAGTTCCTCTTCCTCACCTCCTGCCTCTCTAGGGCTGAATGGCTGAGCGGCACTAAGAGGGTTCTGAGGCTGGAAGCGATGCTGAGGAACCAATAAAACACCAGGATAACTATGCAGAACATTTCATTATACCATCCATATTAGCACGAATTGTCTGATATAAATCGCTGATAGCACCTTTTGGAAAAACTGCTTTTGCAATGAGAAAATATACTTACATCAAACTTTTGTCTAGAGGAACACTTTTTTCTCACTTTTGGCTTGCCAGGCTTTGACGCACAACTCCCCGACCACTGTAACGGCCCGGCACCCTCTAGAGGTCAGATAGCAAAACACAGAATGGGACACAAACAGAGCTATGGTTATCACTAATACATTAGGGATGTGTATTGGTGAAATTCTGGCGATGCGATACGATACGTATCAGGATACAGGGGAGACGATACGATATATTGCGATACATTCAGCCAGACCATATTAGCAATGTTTTAGACCAAAATGATTGTAAGAAAATTCAATAAACAGTCCAAACTGATATGTAACATAATAGAGGGATTTACATTTCGGTGGTGGAAACCAAACCCATTGCACACTGCTGCCATCTAGCAGTCACCATTTGAATTGCACCAAAAGAAAATACACAAATGTTTGCATGTAAATTTTTCCAAAAATTCGATAAACTGCATTTAAATATTGATATAAAATTGCAGAAAAATATCACAATATATTGCCGTATAGGGGTGGGCGGTATAAACTGTATACGGTAGAAATGATATTAATTTCACCAACGGTAGAGATTTTGACTATATCGGCCTATCACGGTAGCGCATGTTGATGACGTCATCAAGCAGCGTCTGTTGAGGCCTTGAGGCTGAAAGCATGGAGCCTGTGGTGGAGGAGGAGGAGGTTCTCGTAAAGAAGACCGGTGCAACATCGGTCATTTGGACTTGGTTTGGCTTTAAGGAGTCGGATGTGGAGCAGAACAATATAATCTGCAAAGTATGCAGGAAGAAAGAATTAGGGAATACATCTAATTTGTTTTACCACCTCAAGACGAAGCACGTTGTGGAATACGAAGAAAGCCAAAAACCGCGTCCTCAACAAACGCCCAGTCAGTCGAGCGGTAAGCAAAAAGGTGGTCTAAAACACCAGCAGACGGATATTTTACAAGCATTTGCTAAAGGCACTCAGTATGAGAGAAATAATCAACGGTGGATTGATATTACAAATGCCATTACCACGTACCTGTGTAAGGACATTAGGGCTGTAGCGAAGCCTCGATGACGTTGACGGCTCGATTCTAAAAATTTGTCGACGTCAGATCCGGAAGTCGACGCACCGCGCCCACTTGTTGCATCCCCAGGAGTTTGTAAATAGAGGAGGAATCTGACTTCCGGCAAAATGGCGGAGCGGGTGCATCACAAATTCTGAACGCAATCTATTTGTCCCAGTTATTCAACAACCTGACCATCCAGCTATATTCACCAGATATTTCAAGCTTTATATCATTGTGAAATTCACTTTTAAGAAAGAGTTAAGCCATGGAACCGTCTTCAAAACGTGACACGGCCGCTACCCACCACAACTACGCAGCAAAGATGGAAACTTCGGCTGAGAGCCTCAAAAGGAAAGACCCTTTCTCTCCGGCAAAGAACAAAACAACCTCCAAAATGAAGGACCAGACTACAGATGAAGGTACGAAGGCCATCCTTGAAGCGATAAAAAAGCTCACAGATAAAGTGGAGGGCCTCGGCACGCAAATTAGTCACAACTCCAATATGCTAGCTAGCATGGCTAAAGCAGTGGAGTTCAACGCAGCGGAGATCAAAGACTGTAAAACGCGGCTACAAACCATGGAGCGAGAGGTATCAGTCAATAAAAAATATAACACCATGCTAATGGAAAGTGTCCTGGAGTTAGAGAGGTACAAACGCCGATGGAACCTCAGAGTCAAAGGATTAAAGGAACGTGAAGGAGAAGACACGCGAGATATGATAGCAAACTTGCTGAAAAAAATCTCACCTGAATGGGCTCCGAACATCAACCATATCGTGGATTCTGCTCATCGGCTGGGGAAAAGAGAGGAGAAAAGAACCAGGCATGTCCTCGTCCAGTTCACACAAAGATTACACCGTGACGCGCTGTGGAAGATGACCAAGGATTCCTCCATTTGCAAAGAACTGGGGATCGGATTCATTGAAGACCTCTGCAAAGCTGACAGGGAGGCTCGAATGGCGCTGTGGCCTAAAATTCAACAAGCACGGGCGGCTGGAAAACGAGCGTACTACAGAGGAGGAGACGGTTACATCGATGGTCACAAAATCACGGTCTGAAGAACAGGAAGACTTAAATACGGTCCGGATGGTCCAATAATTCAAAATATTGAAGGGACATTAACATATCCTTTTGTGCCTTTTTGAGCCTTATGTCCTTTTTTTTTTCGCAGACTTTTCCAAAAGTCGGTTGAAGTTATTGTTCTCTAGCAGTTGCTAGTTAGTTTAGTTAGTTTAATAATGAATGTTAATCTGTTTTGCATCTCTTTGAATGCTAGGGGCTTAAGAAACATTAATAAGAGAAAATCTATTTTTTTGTTTTGTAAGGGAGAGAAAGCTAACATTATTTTATTACAAGAAACACACTCACAACAGGAGGACGAAAAATTCTGGATTAATCAATGGGGGGATAAAATTCTTTTTGACCACGGCTCCACCAAATCAGCAGGAGTGGCCATTCTATTTTGTAATTCTCCTTGGAAATTAGTAGCTTCTAAATCTAGCAGCAATGGTCACTGGCTAATCTGTGTTTTAAATAGTGATGACCAGTATTGTATTGTGGCTAATATTTATGGTTTTAACAACCCAAATCAAAATAAACTCTTGCTTACAGAACTTTCTAACAATATCACTAATCTAAAACTAACCTACCCAAGTGCAAGTATTATTGTTGGAGGTGATTTTAACATGGTTTATGATGAGCATTTGGATAGATACCCTTCTAGGTGTCAACATAGTTCTCATAATTCCACCTTATCTAATTTCTGTGGCAATCACAGCTTAGTAGATCCCTGGCGCCTGGCAAATCCTAATTTTAAACAATACTCCTGGTTCAAACCAAATAATAACCTAAAATCTAGGATTGACTTCTGGTTAATTTCTGCTTCAGTTACATCTCATGTCTCAGACTGCTGCATGTCAGCAGCTCCTCTGTCTGATCACTCAGTTATAAAGTTGAAATTTGCGCCTCCTGGCGGTGGACTCAGAAATAAAGGCTACTGGAAATTCAATTCTGCATTACTAACTTCTCATGAATACTGTGATGGTATTAAATCTCTAATCACTGAAGTGATGGCTGATAACACTATAGGGTCTTATGTGTCAAAGTGGGAGTTTCTAAAATTCAAATTTCGAGAATTCTCCATCCATTTTGGGAAATCATTTCACAAAAACAATAAACTAGCAGAACTTAATCTAATTAAAGAAATTAATACGCATTGTAATAAGGCATCACCAAATGAAAGTGACAAACAAAAATTATTAACTCTACAAGGTAAGCTTGATGAAATGTATCTAAAAAAAGCAGAAGGAGCCTACATAAGATCCAGAGCTAAATGGATTGAAGATGGTGAAAAAAGCACAGCTTATTTTTGTCAACTAGAAAGAAGAAGGCAAGAAAGAAATTCAATTAAAACATTATTAATTCAAAATCAAATATGTACAGATCCAACTTTAATTGCAAAAGAATTGACCTCTTTCTACAGCAAATTATACTCAGCGGCCTTCTCTGAGACTGATTCAAACTTTTTCTTCGATCACATTAAGAAATTTATCCCGAGTATAGATGATGATTTTGCAGAGTTATGCGATGCTGATATTACTATGCTTGAACTAGACAACGCAGTTAAAAACTTAGCCATAAATAAATCCCCCGGTTGTGACGGCCTAACGTCTAATTTCTATCGACACTTTTGGGATCTGTTAAAAAATCCATTTATTCTTATGTTAAATGAAGCAACTGATACTTTATATTTTCCTCCCACTATGAAACAAGGCCTAATTACTCTGATACCAAAACCCGGTAAAGACTCTAAAATTATAGATAACCTTAGACCCATAACATTATTGAATACTGATTATAAAATTGTAACCTTAGCCTATGCCAATAGATTAAAAAGCAAATTAAACTCAATTATAAGTGATTCCCAATCTGGCTTTATGAAAGGTAGATCTATTCACAATAACATTCGTTTGGTGATGGATCTCCTAGACTATAGTCACTTAATTGATGATGACGGTTTTATCTTATTTCTTGATTTTTATAAAGCCTTTGATTCTATTGAACACCCCTTTATCTTTCAATGTTTAAAACAGTTAGGCTTTAGAAACAAATTCTGTGCTACCATTGAATCTCTGTATGATAATGCAACTAGCTCTATTTCATTACCAAATGGAACGTCACCACGATTTGATATTAAAAGAGGGGTTAAACAAGGGTGTCCTATCTCTCCCTTTCTCTTTATAATTGCTACAGAAATGCTTTCTATCTTTATTAAAAATTCAGATATTGCTCCCTTAAATGTTATGGGATTACCTGTAATCATTAGCCAACTTGCAGACGACACAACTATTTTTATGAAACATCTTACAGAGACTCCTAAGATAATAGAAGTTCTTAAGGTATTTTCCCAGGCCTCCGGACTTAGTCTTAACTTAAAAAAATGTGAGTTAATGCCAATTCATCAAAGTGATTTAACAGAAGCATATAACATTCCTATTAGGTCAACGGTAAAATACTTAGGAATACATATATCCAAAGACCCAACTGAAAGGGAAAACTTGAATATATGGAAAACAATAGCAGAGTGTCAAACTAAACTAAACTCCTGGTTGTTGAGAGACATCAGTTTACTTGGGCGTGTCTTTCTTACTAAAATGGAGAGCATACCTAGATGTATCTACCCCGCATATTCACTGACCATTCCTAACAGAGCCATTAAAAAGATCAACCAAATCAACTTTGATTATATATGGAGGAAAAAAATGCATTACATTAAGAGAGCAGAAATGACCAAAGAATATAAAGATGGTGGACTACAAGCTATAGACTTTGAGATCATGGATGGAACACTGAAAATTAACTGGTTAAAATCCTTCTTTAACAATAAAAGCTTCTGGTATCATATACCCAGGGAAATCTTCAAAAGGTTTGGAGGCATTGACCTTTTGTTAAAATGCGATTTCAATATTAAGAAACTTCCGATTAAATTATCCCAGTTCCACCAACAAGTCCTTTTATATTGGAAGCTTTTATACAACC